CATGATACAACAGTTTAAATCTTACAACTAACAGTTCTATACATAGGTGGCGCCACTTGCGCCGTCACAACATAATAACTATTAATAAACAATGTTTATGTTTTCCTTTATAGAACGGCATTCAATAATTGATTGGCTGTTTAACAGAAAGCAGAAAAGTCCAACTTCCCTTTTGCCAAGTGTGAAATGAAGAGCCCAAAGGCAACTTTCAACATTGTATGATGCACAACATGATGAAAGTTGCCTCTAGGCTCTTTGTGTCACATGCAACTTTCTTTATAGCTCCTATTAATTCCCCTGAGCTTCTTGACTGAGGCAGCAGATGGTATTTGGATGATGCTTTTACCAGCTGAACAGAACTGTTTCACCCTCCTGATCCCAACATAGCATTTGTCTCCGTTTCTATCAAAATACCTGTAAGTTGCCTCTGTTTTTGAGAGATCACTGATTTCTCCACTCATCACCCACAAGAAGATCTTGAATGTTTGTTCTTCCTCCTCAAAAAGTACTGAGAGCTGATGCAGGGCAAACAAAGGGAGCAAATGATGGCGACAATGATGATGATCATGAGGAGGAGGAGGAGGATGACAGGAGGTGAAGAAGGAGGACAATATCTGAGGGACCAGCTACATGGCTGAACAAAATGCAAAAACCAAGAAAATAAGTCAAGTTTAGGAGGATGTCTGTTTCGCAGCACTTGGCAAAACCTCCTTTTTTTGATTTGAGCAATGAAAACAACTTCCTGTCAATAAATGTGAACAAACGCTTGGACAAACCTTCAAAGTGATGAGTTACATTGAAAATATGCTTCGAAGTACTTTGAATGTTCCTGTAAATTGAACGGAAATGATTGTTCGGAGCATTTTGGCATCTAAATAGGCTTTATAAATAAACGGAGCAGGTCTGGTGTGTCTTTAGTTATGCTGTTTGTGGCATAAAATATACAACTGAGGCAGGGGAGGGGTGAGAGGACTGGGAGATGCAAAGGATGAAACCAAGCTCTCAACAGCGTTAAGACTTTGAGAACCTAGGAATACTTACTGTCAAAAGTGTGTTCCGCTACAATAAACACGGCAGCATTACTTTTTGGAAAGAATATCCAAACAAATCCATACAAAAATTACAAGCATAGTTTATGCCTGGTTTGAGATAAAGTGCTCTGAATTACTGGATGTACTATCTAAAGAGTAAGGGGTGGATGAGAAGGAAGCTGGTAGGAAGGACATTGCAGGAACCTGATATTCCATTGCAACCATGCCATCATATACAT